GGATGGAAGGAAGGAAGGAAGGATGGATGGATGGAAGCAAGGAAGGGAGGGAGGGAAGGAAGGAAGGATGGATGGATGGATGGAAGGAAGTGGGGAGGGAGGGAAGGAAGGAAGGATGGATGGAAGGGATGGATGGATGGAAGGAAGGGAGGGAGGGAAGGAGGGATGGAAGGAAGGAAGGAAGGAAAGATGGATGGATGGAAGCAAGGGAGGGAGGGAAGGAAGGATGGATGGATGGATGCATGGATGGATGCATGGATGGAAGGAAGGAAGGGAAGGAAGGAAGGGCAATAGCACTTAGACCTGCAATACTGCATCCCTGGATGGATGGATGGATGGAAGGAAGGAAGGAAAGGGAGGGAAGGAAGGAAGGAAGGAAAGAAAGAAAGAAAGGGAGGGAAGGAAAGAAGGGCAATAGCACTTAGATGTGCAATACTGCATCCATGGATGGATCAAAGGAAGGAAGGAAGGAAGGGCACTTACACTTATATACTGCTTTCCAGCCCTCTCTAAGTGGTTTACAGCCTCTTGCCCCCAACAATCTGGCTCCTCATTTTACTGACCTTGGAAGGATGGAAGGCTGAGGCAACCTTGAGCCTGGTGCCAAATTGCAGGCAGCCGGCAGTCAGCAGAAGGAGCCTGCAGTACTACACACTCGAATCCACTGCGCCACCGAGGGCAGGTTATATATAATGGGGCCAGGTTCATGCCAAGCCACACAACACCGTAGTCGTCAGTCTGCAATAGCTGCGTTCCCACCGAGATCAAATGGGGGGGGGGGGAATGTTACAGGTGGAATGAATTCAAAAGTTTGTAGTTCTCCACTAGGTGTTACATTGGGCCTGAAAGCCCCTAGATAACCGGTTCAAGATGGATTGGCGGGTGTGGGAATCCCCCTCTTACGACTTCTCTGTGCTTCCTCTTCCCCGTCCCTCCAGGAGCAGAAGTTCTGCCAGCGGTATGACCAGCTGATGGAAGCTTGGGAGAAGAAGGTGGAACGCATCGAAAATAACCCCCGGCGTCGAGCTAAAGAGAGCAGAGTCCGCGAATATTATGAGAAGCAGTTCCCTGAGATCAGAAAGCAGAGAGAACTTCAGGAACGAATGCAAAGGTTAGCCGGGGCTCCGTTTAGGGCAAGGGCCTTCAAACTTGGCGAGCTTAAGACGCGTGGACTTCAACTCCCAGAATTCCTGAGCTAACATGACTGGAGGAGGAGGAATCCTGGGAGTTAAAACTTCACAAGTCTTAAAGCTGTCAGGTTTGAAGACCCCTGATTTATGGTCTCCCAGGTAGGACCAGTTGTGGCCAGGAGATGCCGTACAGGAAACCTTCCCTGGGACCCAAATCCAGCCCTCTCCCCCAAGCTAGCGTAAAGTCCTCTCTTCTGCCTGGTTAGGGGCTTTGAATAGGACCATCTCAAACCATCTCAGCGACTTTACATAGGACGGCGACACAAATGACTAAATCCCCTCCAGGTGTTGCTGTCAAACGGCAATTTTTAAGGCGAGAGGAGGATCGGTAAACATGTGCACAGGGAAGGGAGTAGCTTGCTGAAAAGCAGGTGAATGGGTTGGCTTGCCTTGGAGTTGAGCTTCCAATTGAGTTGGAGTTGCACCAGGCGAGGGGTCTCCTCACTCACTCATTTCTTCAGGCAGAAGCCCCCTCCCCGTAACTGTCCATGACGATTCTCAGTTCTCCGGGTTTCGTGGTCGTCCCAAAAGGAGCTTTTTTTCAGAGGCCACTGGACTTCCTGGTTTGTCCTTTGAAGACATTTCGCTTCTTCGGCTCTGACTGGATGGTGGGGAATGGAAGGATTTATATTCCTTGCCGACAGCCGGTCGTTTGCATCCTTTTGGAGGGTCGTTGAGCCTACCTGGAGGTTTGTGTCCTCAGGGTCACCCGAGTGGTACCAAAGGGTGTGGAGCCTTCTTGGAACTGCTGTATGGCTCCACATCTATTTGCACCACTCAGGTGACCCCGAGGACACAGACAAACCTCCAAGCGGCCTCAACCACCCTTGAAAAGGATGCAAATGACCAGCAAGGTGTAAAAAAAACCCTTCCATCCCCCACCATCCAGTCAGAGCTGAAGAAGCGTCACGGATGAGAAGTGAAACCAGAAAATCCAGCTGCCTCCTGAAAAAAAACAACACACCTTTGGGACACCCTCCCAGTCAGGTTTTTTTGGGCGGGGGGAATGTGTGGCTTCTCAAGAGGGCTTGTGGGCCAGCAAAACACGTGTGTGGTGCCCCAAAAAGCCCCAAACACTTGGACAAAGTCACATTCAGCTAGATCTTGGCAGGGGAGATCAAACTGAATCCCTAGAAGGCCAGACTTGGACTCACGGGGTCCTGCTCCTACACGCCCCCCCCACCCAGGGACTACTGTTCCCCCCCCCCTCCAGCCCTCTGCCTTTCCCGGCGGCGATCTCTCTTCCTCTTTCTTGGCCCCCGGGGGTTGCCATTCGGAGGCCATGGCCAACCAAGCAACAGAAGGTCCTTCTTTCAGCAATTTTTTCCTCTGCCGTTTCTCAGCAGGGGAGGGCAAAGAGGCAGCGGATTCTCCATGTCGGCGGCACGCAGCGAACATGAGGTGTCGGAAATTATCGACGGGCTCTCGGAACAAGAGGTGAGGCCGGGGTCAACCGTTATGCTTTGGCTCCTCTCCTTCTCGGCACTCCTCCTCCCTTCTTCTTCTTCTTCGGGGTGGGGGGGAGTTGGCTCCACCACAGCTCCGGAGATAGGAAGTGGGGGGGTTCGGGCTAGTTGCCAAATTGCGTTAACCTCAGCCCAGCCGATCCTGTCTGGTGCTGACTGATCTCTGGATGGGGTTGGACCAAGAGTTTTGCTACACTCTCCTTGGGGTGCTCTTTTCCTCCTGCTTTGGAGGCCTCGTTAGCAATCGCCTTAGACTTCCGTGCCACTTCGCAGCACTTTCTAGCCCTTCTCTCAGCGGTTTACAGAGTTGGCCGCTTGCCCCCAACTGTCTGGGTCCTCATTTTACCCACCTGGGAAGGATGGAAGGCTGAGTCAAGCTTGAGCCCATCAGGATTGAATTCCTGGTTGTGGGCAGAGTCATGGAAGGAAGGAAGGAGGGAGGGAGGGAGGAAGGAAGGAAGGAAGGAAGGAAGGAAGGAAGGAAGGAAGGAAGGGCAATAACACTAGCAATAACCCTTAGACTTATATACCGCTTCACAGTGCTTTCCAGCACCTCTCTAAGCAGTTTACAGAGTCAGCATATTTCCCTCAACAATGTGGTACTCCACATTTTACCCACCTCAGAAGGAGGAAGGCTGAGTCAACCTTGAAGCAGTCAGGATTGAACTCATGGCAGTGGGCAGAGTTATGGAAGGAAGGAAGAGAGGAAGGGAAGGGAAGGAAGGAAGGAAGGAAGGAGGGAGGGAGGGAGGAAGGAAGGAAGGAAGGAAGGAAGGGGAAAAGGAAGGGTAATAGCAATAGCCTTTAGACTTATATCCCACTTCGTAGTGCTTTACAGCCCTTTCTAGATGGTTTACAGGGTCCGCGTCTTGCCCCCAACAATCTGGGTCCTTATTTTACGGACCTTGGAAAGATGGAAGGCTGAGTCAACCTTGAGCCTGGTGAGATTTGAACGGCCGAATTTCAAGCAGCCGGCAGTCAGCAGAAGTAGCCCTGCAGTGCTGCACTCTAACCACCGTGGCTCACCACCAACCACCAACCAGGAGCATTCGATGATTTCACTTTCTGAAAGACCCCCCCCATTCATTTGCCAGTCGGCCTTTGTAAGAGGGAGGCCTGAAGCCAACTGGATCCTCTTGACCTAGGAAGAACCCAGGTGGAGCTACGTTCTCCGGTGTTTCCTGTTTCAATACCGGTGGTTGGCCTGATCAACATTTGGCTGCTTCCTCTCAAGGCCCCTTTTTTCCTCTCTTCTCTACCAGAATCTGGAGAAACAGATGCGCCAGCTGGCCGTCATTCCACCGATGCTGTACGACGCGGAGCAGCAGCGCATCAAGTTTATCAACATGAACGGGCTGATGGACGACCCCATGAAGGTCTACAAGGACCGGCAGGTGATGAATATGTGGAGTGAGCAGGAGAAGGAGACCTTCCGAGAGAAGTGAGTGGCACGCAATGCCTCAGGTGTCCTGGAGGGGGCAGGCTAAGAGGGGGGGGGGGAGAGGTCTTCACTCCCAGGAGGAGTTGAGGGGGACACACCTGTGGGCAGCCTCACGCCCCTTCCTGGTTTGGAAGTCATCAAATTAGCCGAGTTGGAAGGGACCTTGTAGTCCAACCTCCCACCCAAGCAGGAGACCCGCCCTCTGATGGCGAACCTATGCCACGCGTGCCACAGGTGGCACGCAGAGCCATTTGTGCCGGCACACGAGCCCCAGGCAAACTTACCTCACTGCGCAGGTGCGCCTCACAGCTGATTTTTGCGCATTTGAGGCCTTTTTCGGCTCGAGAGAAGTCTCCGCAGCTTTTGAGGGCCGAAAAACGGGCCCATTTCGTCACGTCCTAAATTTCTGGAAATACCAGAAGCGATGAACCAGACCCGTTTTTTTGGCCTCCGAAGGCTGCAGAGGCTTCCCTCTCGAGCCTCTGGGAGGCTGAAAAAGGCCTCAAACTGGCCGAAAATCAACTGGGAGGCGCACACAGCGCAGGCAAGGGGGCGGGGGAAGGCATCGGGTATGTATGCGCAAGAGGCGTGGGAGGGATGCGTACATTGCCTTCTGGCTGCTGGCACGTGAGCACAAGGGCACACAATTTTCGGCACAGGAGCCCAAAAAGGTTAGCCACCACTGCCCTACGCCATTTCTGACAGAAGGCAGTCCAGTCTCTTCTTGAAAGCCTCCAGTGATGAAACTCCACAACGTCCGAGGGCAACTTCTGTTCCATGGGTTGATTGTGCTCACTGTCAGAAAGTTTCTCCTTATTTCCAGGTTGAATGTCTTCCTTGTTCAGTTTCCATCCATTGTTCCATGTCTGGCCTTCAGGTGCCTTGGAAAATAGGTTGACCCCTTCCTCCTCTCTGTGGCAGCCCCTCAAATATTGGAAGGCTGCTCTCCTGTCTCCCCTGGTCCTTCTTTTCACTGGACTAGCCATGCCCAGTTCCTGCAACCATTCATTGTACGTTTTAGCCTCCAGGCTGTTGATCATCGTAGATAGATTCAGATTACCAGAGTTGGAAGGGACCTTGTAGGTCATCTAGTCCAACCCCCTGCCGAAGCAGGAGTCCCTACACCATTTCTGACAGATGGCAGTCCAGTCTCTTCCTGAAAGCCTCCAGTGATGAACCTCCCACAATTTCCAAAGGCAACCTCTGTTCTACTGGTTGATTGTTCTCACTGTCAGAAAATACCTCCTTATTTCTAGGTTGAATCACAGATTCATTTAACAACTGCATTACTAACGTATCAACCACAATGATTCACTTAACAACAGTGGCAGGAAATGTTGTAAAAGAGGGTAAAACTCACTTCAATGTCTCACTTAACAACAGGAATTTTAGGCTCAATCGTTGTGTAAGTTGAGGACTACCTGCATCTGTGGCATACCGGTAGTCCTCACTTAGCAACCGTTGGAAGTTACAATGGACCTCCCAAATGCTACTTGCGACCCAGTTCTGGAGTTCTGACAGCTCCCTACAAGGTCACCTGATCCCCTAACTCTTATGACCACTGGCAGCCATTCACAGTCATTTGACTGCAATTTACAAAAATTTTTGGCGGTTTCTCAGCTTTTCCGCTGGTTTCGGACAAACCCCCCCCATGGATTCACTTAACGACCATTTTCACTTAGTGACCACAGCATTCACTTAATGACCATCACAAAAAAAAGTTATAAAAATCAGGTCCAGTCTTATGGGTAACTCTTAATTGCAAGCATTATGATAGTGGAAATGCTGGCCTCTATTTTGGTCGCAAGTCAAGGACTACCTGAACAGAGTATCTGTAGGACCCCCTCTGCTGGGTATCCGTTCCAGCCCAGTTTTTGCTTCTGATCAATCATCATCATTTAACAACCCCATAATCCCTTGCGGGGTGGAGTCTGGGCAACTGAATGGAGCTAGCGGAGTACTTGAATGGCCGGATGCCCTTCCTGTCACCAATACGGAGTTATATTCGGCAAATATATTCTCATCTTGCCCAGAAAGAGAGAAATATCTGCCTTTACTGAGGATCGAACTCACAGTCTCCTGATTGTGAGGCGAGAGCTCCTCCTCTAGGCCACCGCACCGCTCCCTGGCTCTTGCTTCGGATGTAGAAAGAACAAGAGTTGGTTTCTCCAACCAAATGTCTTCATGGTTGTTCCTTTGGTGGTTCTTCTTGCAGGTTCATGCAACATCCAAAGAATTTTGGTCTTATCGCCTCCTTCCTGGACAGGAAAGTAAGTGGATATTTCTTTCGATCCTTTCTCACAGGTTCCTTTTTGTGAAAGCACCTATCAACTCCTAAAACGTTCCTATGCCTGTTTTAATAGTTGCCATGAAAAAAAGCGGGTTGGGGGCGGGAGGAAAGGAAGGAAATCTGGAAGAGCAAATGCAGCGGTTTGAAAGCGGAAGTACATTCCAACTCACATCTTTAAAAGGTTGTAACTAAACTACCGGAGCTTTTGCCTGCAAATATATTTAATGGGGGAACGTGATTGATGACACCCAGCCGGTGAACGTGCTCAGTTGGAGAATCTGCTTTATGACACACCTGGGGGCAGAGAGGGAAACGGGGTCACAGGGGACTGTAAATGACGTATGCAAGAGTTGGCTTCATATAGGGCAAAGCCAGTATGTCGCCTCTAAAAAAATCTTTTGAAGTTTTTTGAAGTTTGGTTCAAGGATCATGATTTAATTAGGGCAATTGCTGGAATCCTGACAGCACACTCATCCTACAAGCTAGAGCAGAGGTGGGCAACTTAAGAGCCACAGAGATCCTAACCAGAAGGGACCCTTCTCCCCCCCCCCCCCCCCCCAATTCAATTGTGGAGCTGACCAGATTCTATGGTCGTTCTCCCCACCATAGAGTTTCCTCCTAGAGTGGTGTCCTTTTTCATCTACTTGTCCTAACCGAAAGCCCTATCAACTGTGGAGCTGACTGGCAACAGGGAGTCGCAGCAGAGGGTTGAAAGAGCCACCTGCGGCTCCAGAGCCACAGGGGCCGACCCCTGAGCTAGGCCTTCTGGGAAGAAGCTGTTAGAACTTCTTGGTTGCCTCTCCAAGTTGCACTTATCAAAACAGCGACCCAGCTGCAAACTTCAAGGGGGCAACTTCCCAAGGTCCCCTCTAAAACCAGAAGCCTTGCCCAGGATAGCGATTTCCAAGGAACCTCTGAGGAAAGCGGTCCATCCCTCTTCTAAGAGTTGGCCATCCTGGTTGCCGATCGTCTTGTGCAAGGGTCTTCAAACTTGGCAAAGTTTAAAACAAGTGGACTTCAACTCCCAGAATTCTTGAGCTAACATGACCGGAGGAGGAATTCTGGGAGTTGGAAGTCCACAAGTCTTAAAGCTGTCAAGTTGGAAGACTCCTGGTCTTGTGGGTTGTGGTGCTTTGGAAAGGAACAGACACACCTCAGCGACATCAGAAGGTTTATATCGTATTATCCAACGTGTGCTTCCCTCCCATGTCTGTACCAAGCATCACCAACGTGTGTGTGTGTGTGTGTTTTCCTTTTCCTAGACAGTTGCGGATTGTGTCCTCTACTACTATTTGACCAAGAAGAACGAGAACTACAAGAACTTGGTGAGAAGGAATTACCGCCGGCGAGGAAAGAACCAGGTAAGGAAACCCAGTGGGGGAAGCTGGAAGTGTCTAAGGCAGGGGTCTTCCAACTTGACAGCTTTAAGACTTGTGGACTTCAACTCCCAGAATTCCTCCTCCAGTCATGTTAGCTCAGGAATTCT